AGCTGCTCCATGCCGTCCTCGATCCACCCGAGGAACGAGGCGACCCTGGTGAACACGGGCGGCCAGGACACCAGGCAGCTGTACTTCATGCCGAAGGAAGTGATGCCGACCAGCGTGGCGTTGCCGTCCTTGCCCTTTATCGTCGAGAGCGGCCCGCCCGAGTCGCCCTGCAGTCGGACGAAACAAGTGCATGAACGGGAAAGAGGCACTGTACACTGTGGAAACGCAAGTGTGTGAATGCCACACACTTGCAGGTGTGTGAATGCCTGGGGTACACACCATGCACGTCCCCTTCTTAAAGAGGCCGGACACGCACACGTGCGATTCGTCGATTTGCATCAGCAGGAGGTAGGGCAGCTGGCAGACAGGGTTTGGCAGCACGTAGGACTCGACGTAGCGCAGCACGGGGGATATGTCGCCGTCTGCGATTTTTTATAAGTCATTTATTCAACCAGAGGGGGTAAAAGCGATAAAATAAGAATCATTTAAAGAATTTATTTTAAAATCTCAATTATGAATTGATCTTAAAAACTGGTGCTACAAATTAAAAATTTGGGCTATGTTTGAATTTTTTAATGTATTTTGAAATGTTTTGAAGTGTTTGAAGTGTCGAAGGAAAAATTGAGACTGGCGTTTTTCTTGCCTGCTTTAAACATTTGTGAAATAAGATGACATAACAAAAAAATCACAGACTGGGACAATGCCTCTCTTCAATTTATCAATGAGAAATTACTTTCCGTCCGTTCTCGTCCATTTCTCCTCCTGGCCGAAGAAGAAGGAATCAAGGAATCCTTCTGGCTGGCATATGGGCCCATCTTCTTATCTGTGGGCCCCGTGGGCTTGTTTGCGCCTCGAGGCAGGAAGCGGCCGCGACCCCGTCGCACCACCCGTCACACCCGTCAAGTCCAGCAGAGCCGTGTGCCGATAAAAACCTGTCGAGGGAAAAAGAAGGAGGAAGCTGGGGATATCGAGAGACTTTTACGAGGAATAAACTCGGCAGGCTGCTTCTGGGGTTCGATTGTTCCGCCCTCCAGCGACGCGCGGTATAAAGGCGTATGGGGGTTTGAAATCCGTGGGATATCTCGTGCAGGTGAGCAAGGGGCTGTACATAAACTGCGTCTCATTAAAAAAAAAAAGAGGTTTAGTACTTTTCTTACGGGTCGTCTCCGAGGGGTGGGCGACTTGAATTTTTCGTGTACACAGGAGTACGGAGTACACGGAGTACAGTCGGAGAACACTGAGTATTGCCGGTCGGAGCGCGCAGAGTACACCTGGAGTACACCTGGAGTACACCCGGAGTACACCCGGAGTACAGTCGGAGTACGCGGAGAACTTGCGACAAAAACGGCCGGAGTACACGGAGTACAGTCGGAGTACAATCGGAGAACACCTGGAGTACATTTTGGCCTGTACACAGGAGCCGCCCAGTCGTCCACCCCTCGGTCGTCTCTTATTTAAGAAAACGCCTTTTTAGTTTTATCCTTTTTTTAACCCGGTCCAAAACTTCTCTAGCGTATGATAAAATCTACGCAAGTGAAATTTCTTTTATGTCAGCTCTCTTTTTAAATGTAGCACTGCTTTGGGATGGGTCAGGGTCACACGGTCACACACGCACCACCCGAAAGCCAGGGGGCGCAGCAGTCCATAATGATGATGGTAATTAAGGACGTTGATTCCCACTTTTGTTTCTGTACGACGAGCGCCGCTAAAGCCCTTTGAGATGCATTTAAAAGCCCCCTGTGGCAACTGTGGGGGGAAGGGGGATAGAAGAAGGTGCGCTCGGACCTTGGGGCGTAAAGGAATCTCAGCGTGTGTGTGTGTGTGGGGGGGGGGGGCACCCTCAGGGCTCCCAGAGGAGGGCCCTTGCTCACCCCACAGTAGACGGGCCCTTCGCCGCCGCATATAGCTTTATCGGGGGGTCCGGCCCCTATAGGGAGGGGCCTTACAACGCGCGGTGTGGGACCTGTCCAGAAGAGTCGGACAGCTCATGGGGGAGGGGAGGGGTGGGGGGTCATCACGTTAGGGCTTATACTGCCGCAGGGGAGGGAGAGAGGGGTGGGGGGCAAGGGGTGCAGCCCCCAGAGAGCGGGCCTGAACGTATTATCCACTTTACACACACACACACACACACGCATACGCGTGATAGAGTGGGATCCTTCGATACGATATGACTCACACACGACCCAGAGGATTGAATCCATTTTTATTGCCGGCCAGAGGTTTTTTTTCGGGCGGGGAAGGTTGTTTTCCGGGCTATGCTCAGGTGTGGTGGTGGCTGCACGGGTGGCGGCCGAGGTATGTGGTGCTCTATGGGGGGAGGATTCGGTCGTAAAAACAGTCCACCGCATCCCGACTTGCGCATGGAGCGAAGCGCGCGGGATATTTTGCCGATGGAAGCCTACAGCCTGCAGTGAGGTACTTCAGTATACTTCCGAGCTAGGTCTCTAATTACTAGGGATTTAAAAATCGGAGCTTTTCCAGGAAAACATGGAAAGAATTGAAATATTTTCAGTTGAATTCAAAAGAAAACTCCTCAAGAAAAAATTCAGAAATTAACTTAAAAACATTCAAAAATAATTACACACGCCTGCCGTCCGATCTGCGCTGGTAGAGACAGTCTTTAGGAAACTGTCTAAAATAAAAATCTCGAAAAATTTCCGTACTTCTAAAGAGGTCCCTACTTTTGACCCTTGACGATCACGGTGTCCGCGTGGTGGACCGGGACAGGTGCTTGACGCCCTCGGGCCGGCGCTTGCCCTGGAGCTGCTCCATGCCGTCCTCGATCCATCCGAGGAACGAGGCGACCCTGGTGAACACGGGCGGCCAGGACACCAGGCAGCTGTACTTCATGCCGAAAGAGGTGATACCGACCAGCGTGGCGTTGCCGTCCTTGCCCTTTATCGTCGAGAGCGGCCCGCCCGAGTCGCCCTGCAGTCGGACGAAACAAGTGCATGAACAGGAAAGAGGCACACTGTACATTGTGGAAACACAAGGGTGTGAATGTCACACACTTGCAGGTGTGTGAATGCCTGGGCTACACACCATGCACGTCCCCTTCTTAAAGAGGCCGGACACGCACACGTGCGATTCGTCGATTTGCATCAGCAGGAGGTAGGGCAGCTGGCAGACAGGGTTTGGCAGCACGTAGGACTCGACGTAGCGCAGCACGGGGGATATGTCGCCGTCTGCGATTTTTTATAAGTCATTTATTCAACCAGAGGGCGATGCGTGCCACCATTGGGTTTTAAATTCCGAATATTTTGCGACAAAATTCAAATCTTTTTCAAAAAAAAAATCATACATTATTTTAAAAAGTTCTTGAATAATTTCTCAAATCCTTTTCCGGAAAGTTAAAATTCCTTGTGCAACCTATAGACCACTCGCAAATCTCGGTGAGGCAATTTATTTTGCAGTGCATTCCTTGTGCCGTGATACTATACGTACGTGTAGTAGTGCGCCCCCACCCGCTCATGACGACCTTCGAACCAACCAGAGCACCGACGTCCTTCGGCGGCAACTGAATCGCTTGAACACGTTCATCTGAAAAAGAAAAAGTGTCAATAAACTGCGCGGGACTAACACACATTTATGTTTTGATCAATATTTCGGTGTTGTCATTCGCGTATGACCTCTAAAAATGTTACTAACTGAACTGCAGACTAGTGTTCAAGAGGACCAGAGCGATGTCGTTCCGATATTTCGAGAAACCTCCGTGAACGATGAACGAATCAACCTCCAGCTCCTGCTTTGTCGGCTCGTCATGGATGCTGTTTGCCCCGGCGTAAACGGTTATCTTCCGCGTCTCTGACCTGTGCAAAAATAGGTCTGATAAAAACAAGAACTAGTACCTACAGACCCTTTTGCACCCTACACCTAGTCCAGGCTCTAACACTTTTCTTCCCGATTCTAGCCCTTTGTTCCCAAATTCTAGCCCCTCTACTCCAGAATTATTTTACTCTCGGCTACTCAACTCCCGTTGTTTAGCACTATACTCCAGGATTCTGATTTTGACACTCTACTCTACAGCACTCTATTTCCAGATTCTATCAGTCTACTCTCTTATTCTAGAACCCTACTCCCAAGCACTCTACTCCTACTCTAGCACCCTACTCCCGAGCACTCTACTCCTACTCTAGCACCCCTACTCCCGAGCACTCTACTCCTACTCTAGCACCCTACTCCCGAGCACTCTACTTGCGGTATGCAGTGGGCGGCCGTCACGACGATGGTCTCGGTGAGGATGGAGCCGCCGCAGAAGCTCGTCTCTCTGCCGGCGCCCTCGCCCGCCTCGACGACCATCGCCACCTGGTGCGGGAACTGGCCCGGGTTCGCCGCCTGGCCCCCGACGATGCGGCTCTCGCTGGAGACTGAGTGCTCTTTGCTTAAAAAACTGCAGCTTAGCCCATACCAAAACAACAACATATTGAGACGAAATCGTACCAGTTCGATGCGACAACTTTTACACTCGAACTGGGACAATCCATACCCCCTCATCCTCCCCACAAATGTAACGATATAATATCATTCTAAAAGCAAGTGATGTACTGAGGTGTTTTAAAAACGTAAACATTTCCTGGGACAGACAGGCCATTCAAATTTACCGCGCGTTTTTCCCTTGAGCACACTACCACGCCGCGTCGTAGATAAGGACCCCCCTCCCTCTTTTCTCGTACCCTGTTGCATATCTACTTTCACATGCCGGTGCCGGTGAACTTCACGGAAAAATCGAGGCAAAATAAATCGTAAAGAAATAACAACAAAAAGACTTGAAATTTTGAACATATTGAAATGCCTCATTAATTTGCGTGCATTTTTCACGCGTCGTCGCGAGCCTCTTTTAGGGTGGACGCTACTACTCACAGTTCACTGGTGCGGCCACCATCGCCTGGAAGGACAGTTCGTCGGTGGGGGTGGTGGTGGGGGTGGTGGTCCGTGGCGCGCCCGCCAAGCACGACGACAAGGTCCCCAGCAGCACGAGGACCTAACGGGAGCGCCGACAGGGGGCGGGGGGTCTCGGTATGGTTTTGGAAACGATTAGAAACGAAACAGAAAACGCGGAGCAAAAGCTTACGACGGGCAGGTAGTCCATGGCTGCGACTGGCGCCGGCGCCGCGCACAGTGGCTGCGGGCGCCGTGCGGGCCGCGGCGGCCCGGCGCCAGCCGCGACCGTCGCCCTGGCGTCGCCTTGACGGGTACCTCCCGGTAAAATCAACGCCTGATTTGTTTAAGGAAAACTTTCAGGGAAATAATTTGAGAAAACTTATTCGCAGATTCTCAGGAAGTCATTTCTATGGAATATGATGAAAATTCCCACACTTTTTGAGGAGACTTCCTCGCGAAATCTGAGGAGTTTTTCTCAAGTTATGGGGAGTTCCTCATAAGTTTTTTGTGAGGGAAAAGGGAAAACTTTGAGCTCGAGTTCACGCAGCCAAAAGACTAGCCAGTCATTGGTTGGTATGATTTAGTTTCCTATATACATTTCACAGCAAAAAATAAAATAAGGAATTAAAAATAACAGAGCGGAAGCGGAAACCGTCGTAAAACACGCTAAATGCGCAAACGTCAGGTTTTAGCGCCTGCTGATGCCTTTTGCTTCTTCTCCGTCCTGATTGTGAGCGGCTCAAAGAGTCACAGTCGTCAACCCCGCGCGCGTTGATCTTCACCTTTACCTTTCCAAAAAGCCTTCGGGGCCTTGTTAGTATTCTCCCGTGAGTCCAAAGGGGCGGGGCGGGACGGGGCGGGGCACATACACACACACACCCCATGACAGGAAGAGGGGGGCCTCTTCTTGGCGGCTCTGCGCCTCTCATGGCGATGGACTGCACGATAATGGTAGACAATGACTCCCAAACCGTCGACTTGAACGCACAAATAGAGGGCCGTAAAAAGCGCCGCCC